GAGGAGGAGGAGGAGGAGGGGCCTGTGGTGTTCACACAGTAGAGAGTGGGCTACAGGAGGAGGAGGAGGAGGAGGAGGAGGCGGAGGAGGAGGAGGAGGAGGAGGAGGGGCCTGTGGTGTTCACACAGTAGAGAGTGGGCTACAGGAGGAGGAGGAGGAGGAGGAGGGGCCTGCGGTGTTCACACAGTAGAGAGTGGGCTACAGGAGGAGTAGGAGGAGGAGGAGGAGGAGCCTGCCATGTTCACACAGTAGAGAGTGGGCTACAGGAGGAGGAGGAGGAGGAGGAGGAGCCTGTGGTGTTCACACAGTAGAGAGTGGGCTACAGGAGGAGGAGGAGGAGGAGGAGGAGGGGCCTGTGATGTTCACACAGTAGAGAGCGGGCTACAGGAGGAGGAGGAGGAGGAGGAGGAGGAGGAGCCTGTGGTGTTCACACAGTAGAGAGTGGGCTACAGGAGGAGGAGGAGGAGGAGGAGGAGGGGCCTGTGGTGTTCACACAGTAGAGAGTGGGCTACAGGAGGAGGAGGAGGAGGAGGAGGAGGAGGAGGAGGAGCCTGCGGTGTTCACACAGTAGAGAGTGGGCTACAGGAGGAGGAGGCGGAGGAGGAGGAGGAGGAGGAGGAGGAGGGGCCTGTGGTGTTCACACAGTAGAGAGTGGGCTACAGGAGGAGGAGGAGGAGGAGGAGGAGGAGGAGGGGCCTGTGGTGTTCACACAGTAGAGAGTGGGCTATAGGATGAGGAGGAGGAGGAGGAGGAGGAGGAGGAGGAGGAGCCTGTGGTGTTCACACAGTAGAGAGTGGGCTACAGGAGGAGGAGGAGGAGGAGGAGGAGGGGCCTGTGGTGTTCACACAGTAGAGAGTGGGCTACAGGAGGAGGAGGAGGAGGAGGAGGAGGAGGAGCCTGCGGTGTTCACACAGTAGAGAGTGGGCTACAGGAGGAGGAGGAGGAGGAGGAGGAGGAGGAGGAGGAGCCTGCCGTGTTCACACAGTAGAGAGTGGGCTACAGGAGGAGGAGGAGGAGGAGGAGGAGGAGCCTGTGGTGTTCACACAGCAGAGAGTGGGCTACAGGAGGAGGAGGAGGAGGAGGAGGAGGAGGAGCCTGTGGTGTTCACACAGTAGAGAGTGGGCTATAGGAGGAGGAGGAGGAGGAGGAGGGGCCTGCGGTGTTCACACAGTAGAGAGTGGGCTACAGGAGGAGGAGGAGGAGGAGGAGGGGCCTGTGGTGTTCACACAGTAGAGAGTGGGCTATAGGAGGAGGAGGAGGAGGAGGAGGGGCCTGCGGTGTTCACACAGTAGAGAGTGGGCTACAGGAGGAGGAGGAGGAGGAGGAGGGGCCTGTGGTGTTCACACAGTAGAGAGTGGGCTACAGGAGGAGGAGGAGGAGGAGGAGGAGGGGCCTGTGGTGTTCACACAGTAGAGAGTGGGCTACAGGAGGAGGAGGAGGAGGAGGAGGAGGAGGAGGAGGAGGAGGAGGGGCCTGTGGTGTTCACACAGTAGAGAGTGGGCTACAGGAGGAGGAGGAGGAGGAGGAGGAGGAGGAGGAGGAGGAGGAGGGGCCTGTGGTGTTCACACAGTAGAGAGTGGGCTACAGGAGGAGGAGGAGGAGGAGGAGGAGGAGGAGGGGCCTGTGGTGTTCACACAGTAGAGAGTGGGCTACAGGAGGAGGAGGAGGAGGAGGAGGAGGAGGAGGAGGAGGAGGAGGGGCCTGTGGTGTTCACACAGTAGAGAGTGGGCTACAGGAGGAGGAGGAGGAGGAGGAGGAGGGGCCTGTGGTGTTCACACAGTATAGAGTGGGCTACAGGAGGAGGAGGAGGAGGAGGAGGAGGAGGAGGAGGAGGAGGGGCCTGTGGTGTTCACACAGTAGAGAGTGGGCTACAGGAGGAGGAGGAGGAGGAGGAGGAGGGGCCTGTGGTGTTCACACAGTAGAGAGTGGGCTACAGGAGGAGGAGGAGGAGGAGGAGGAGGGGCCTGTGGTGTTCACACAGTAGAGAGTGGGCTACAGGAGGAGGAGGAGGAGGAGGAGGAGGGGCCTGTGGTGTTCACACAGTAGAGAGTGGGCTACAGGAGGAGGAGGAGGAGGAGGAGGAGGAGGAGGAGGAGGAGGAGGAGGAGGGGCCTGTGGTGTTCACACAGTAGAGAGTGGGCTACAGGAGGAGGAGGAGGAGGAGGAGGAGGAGGAGGAGGGGCCTGTGGTGTTCACACAGTAGAGAGTGGGCTACAGGTGGAGGAGGAGGAGGAGGAGGAGCCTGTGGTGTTCACACAGTAGAGAGTGGGCTACAGGAGGAGGAGGAGGAGGAGGAGGAGGAGGAGGAGGAGGAGGAGGAGGAGGAGGGGCCTGTGGTGTTCACACAGTAGAGAGTGGGCTACAGGAGGAGGAGGAGGAGGAGGAGGAGGAGGAGGAGGGGCCTGTGGTGTTCACACAGTAGAGAGTGGGCTACAGGAGGAGGAGGAGGAGGAGGAGGAGGAGGAGGGGCCTGCGGTGTTCACACAGTAGAGAGTGGGCTACAGGAGGAGGAGGAGGAGGAGGAGGAGGAGGAGGAGGAGGGGCCTGTGGTGTTCACACAGTAGAGAGTGGGCTACAGGAGGAGGAGGAGGAGGAGGAGGAGGAGGAGGAGGGGCCTGTGGTGTTCACACAGTAGAGAGTGGGCTACAGGAGGAGCAGGAGGAGGAGGAGGAGGAGGGGCCTGTGGTGTTCACACAGTAGAGAGTGGGCTACAGGAGGAGGAGGAGGAGGAGGAGGAGGAGGGGCCTGTGGTGTTCACACAGTAGAGAGTGGGCTACAGGAGGAGGAGGAGGAGCAGGAGGAGGAGGAGGAGGAGGAGGAGGAGGAGGAGGAGGGGCCTGTGGTGTTCACACAGTAGAGAGTGGGCTACAGGAGGAGGAGGAGGAGCAGGAGGAGGAGGAGGAGGAGGAGGAGGAGGAGGGGCCTGTGGTGTTCACACAGTAGAGAGTGGGCTACAGGAGGAGGAGGAGGAGGAGGAGGAGGAGGAGGGGCCTGCGGTGTTCACACAGTAGAGAGTGGGCTACAGGAGGAGGAGGAGGAGGAGGAGGAGGAGGAGGGGCCTGCGGTGTTCACACAGTAGAGAGTGGGCTACAGGAGGAGGAGGAGGAGGAGGAGGAGGAGGAGGGGCCTGTGGTGTTCACACAGTAGAGAGTGGGCTACAGGAGGAGGAGGAGGAGGAGGAGGAGGAGGAGGGGCCTGTGGTGTTCACACAGTAGAGAGTGGGCTACAGGAGGAGGAGGAGGAGGAGGAGGAGGAGGAGGGGCCTGCGGTGTTCACACAGTAGAGAGTGGGCTACAGGAGGAGGAGGAGGAGGAGGAGGAGGGGCCTGCGGTGTTCACACAGTAGAGAGTGGGCTACAGGAGGAGGAGGAGGAGGAGGAGGAGGAGCCTGCGGTGTTCACACAGTAGAGTGGGCTACAGGAGGAGGAGGAGGAGGAGGAGGAGGAGGAGGAGGAGGAGGAGGAGGAGGAGGGGCCTGCGGTGTTCACACAGTAGAGCAGTAGAGAGTGGGCTATGGGGTGGGAGGAGGGGGGGGGGCCTGTGACGTTTCCACAGCACCAGCTAACGGCAGGTGCTGGTGAGACTCGAGGGATGCGGGTGAAGGGGACAGAGAAGGAGGGCACAGGGGAAGATGGGAGCTGCAGGGGACAGAGCCTTGAGCTGAATGAGACGGAAAGAAGAGCTATGCCCAGACGTGGACATCACTGTGCAGGGAACACACGGCAAGGAGTGGGCTCACACGGCCCCTCACGTGCGCAAACCCACACTACACATTACACCGACCACGTTTCATGCTAGACTGAGCCACGCCACGCCACGCCACACGGAACCATGATACATGATACCCCAAACCAGGCAGAGGAGTTGCTGCCTGAATCCGGGGCTGGTGCTACGTCAAGACTGAGTGTCTGAAGCTGCCTCAGGGGCGAGGGTGACAGGGGCCGTCTAGCACTCAGGCACCCTGCCCGAGGCATGACCTGAAGCCGAACACAGGCGCAGCAGCCACGCCTCAAGGCCAGGCAGAGGAGGAGTGGTGGAGACGCAGCTCACTCTGGCCGCAGCCCGGTGAGTGTGTGCTGTCCTGAGTGGGGGCAGCCACTGTCGGGTGGTGAGGGACGAGCTCCTTGGGGTTGTGCCCAGCTCTTCTGTGCGTTTTCCCTGGGTCCTCCAGCAAACCCTGAAGGGGATGGGTGCTCAGAGAGCACGTCTGTACGACACGGTTTCCAGTGCAGAGCATGAGGATTTCATAATTCCAGCACAAAACCAAAATCTCAGTAACAAAACACGTCACATAGAAGAGACGAGAGCTGTGAAGCTCCTGACCAGCGCGTCACGAGTCAGAAGGAGCACGTCACTCCCATCGCCGAGTGCAAATTGTGTTTTTATGAACTCTGAGGTAACACTACCGAAGCTGAATACGGGGCGGGCATGTGTCTTCACCGTATGCAGGGCTGATGAGCAGCCGATGGCTGCCCCCACACCAGGGGGGCAGGGAACCCGGACAGTCTGCCCGTCCTAAGAGACGGCGAAGCCAAGCAGGCCGGGCATCTGGGAGGAAGAACGCAGCCAACAGTGAGGAGGCCACGCTTTCCCTGGGCATCAGGGTGGCGGGTCTCATGTCTGTCAACACGCCCACTATGGCCTAAGACTCTGTCATTTAAAGACAAGCTCTGAAATATCTCAGACCCTTGGGAAAGCACAGGAGGGCTTATGGGGAGGTGAGGTGTCCAGCACTCCTCCCCATCTCCTCCTGAAACGCACTCAAAGGTGTGGTTCTTTCCCCGAAATCGGGATCATGAACCTGCCTGGGAGAAACCCGCTGAGTCCCTAGCGTTCAGACACAGGCCCCTGGAGGGCAGGAGAGTGTGCAGCTGGCCAGGCTGGGCCGACAGGAGGACGGCGGGCGGCAGGGGAAGAGGGAAGGCAGCCCCATGTCACCCAAAAGCCTCGCAGGTTAGAAGAGCCGTGATTCCCCGAACACGACAGGAGCGCTCCACTCACCGCCCCAAGCATGATCCTGAAAATCAGCCAGCGGAAGCCCCACAGGACGATCCGGGACGTGGGAGTGTGCCGGGGCAGCCTTGACAGCGTCCACAGTGGGCAGAGGAAGATGCCCAGGAACCCGGTCTCCAGAAGCTGGGACTCCCATCCTAAAACGACAGTGACACAGACCAAGGGTGAGTTCACGGAGGCCACACATAATTTCAGATAATCGGTTTAATGGAAACGGCCCTAACATGGGCTGATGTGGCTACTGAGACGCACAAGCACCGTGTGTTAGTCTCGGCACCGACGTGCAAGGACAGGCAGGTCTGCAGGAGCGGGAGCTCGGAGCGCAGGACCCGGGGCCTGGGCTGGTGCTTCCTAACCTCGGCACCCTTCGCCCTGGAGGGAAAGGCCCTGTTCTGAGGGCCGCCACCTGCCACCCTGCAGGACGCTGCACAGACCCCGCATCTGAGCCTGCACCCTGCACACGTGCTGCCGGCATGTGTATGGGGAAGCCGTTCCCTCCTGTAGCTTTGCATGAAAACAAAGCTTTCACCTTCGCTGCCCGGCCTCCATGTGAAGCAGGGTCTCCCTCTGGCTCTGTCCTTCCCAGGCGGGCCCAGAAGCCAGGCAGAGATGCAGAGGCAGGCCGCAGCGGGTCCCCACGGCGCCAGCACCAGTCAGCCCCTCACGGGCCCAGGAAGTCCCCTGCTGCTGCTAGACGTGGGGGACTTGTGGGGGCCCGGCAGATTTTTCTCTCTGGAAACCCAGCATGAGAATGCAGATGCGGGCCGCCATCCCAGTGCTGTTCTCAGAGGTGAGGGCACCATGGATGTGGCTACTGGAAACTGCCCACAGCCCACGTCTGTCCATGGCAGATCACATCCCAGGGGCCCAGAGACCCCACAGGCCAGGCTCCCTGCTGGGCTCTGAGGACGCCGATGGGACAGAGGTCACCCGCCGCCCAGCGTGACAACAATCACTGACTCCCAACACCACAGCGTCTACGCGCCACAGGGAGGATGGGAGAGCGCTGAGGGATGCGGATGGGCTCGCGGGGAGCTCCTTCAGCAGCTCGTCCGTACCTGAGAAATCATGGTCCAGTCAAGCCTGTGAAGAAGCCACTGCAGCAGCACTGGAGTATGACCCAAAGCACGAAATAAACACCTGCCAGGCCACACGGACGCACGTGTATCACTGATTAAACACATCTGCGTGCACGGAGGCAGCGCGGTCCTGCTCTGCTCCGAGCAGACAGATGGTCAGGCTCACACAGGCCGCAGAGCTGAGGCCCGGGGGTCTCACAGTGGGACCCCCTCTGCCTCGCCCATGCCCCAGGCTCACTGGGCCCCATGTTCCCCACAGAAGCCAGAGCCACCCGGCTGGATGGGCCCTGCGGCTGCCCTGGGAAGGAAAGGGTGGCCCCGAGCCCACCTGCTTCTGTTTTCTTGGCTTGGGTCTCGTGGAATTCCAGCAGCTGCGCGGTGGCACAAGGGCTGCATTGTTCTCCGCCTCAGTGTGGCGGACGGCGCGTCCCCAGGAAAGTCAATCAGCAGTGCACTGCCAGGGCGGCCTCAGCGCCAGGGCCGTCCCCACAGCACCCACCCAGCAGACTCCAGCGCTGCCTGAAGCCAGCCCCAGGGGCCTCCCTTCCCTTTAGTCAGGGGGACGGCCGGGAAGGTCCCTGCCCCCGCTCACCGCCTCCGGTGTTGTTTCCACCCCTGCTGGGCCGGGCCTTCCAGGGACAGAGCACGGCTGTGGGGAGCCTGGTGCGCTCTGCTTGGGGGCTGGGGGGCAGCTCTTGGGGAATGTTCACTTTCATGGCTGCTGCCCTCCTTCCTGTGATACAGACAGCACTGGCCCAATCACTGGAGACGCTCTTGGGCCCCGCCCATTGGACAGGGTGCGACCCTTGGGGAAGAACCCAGGGCACCACCTTCTGGAGCAGAACCCGAGGCCGGCTGTCTCCCAGGAATGCCCCCAAGAGGCGGCACATCGGGGAGAAGACGCAACCTGGCCTGGGGCTGGGACCACACTCGGAACCCACAGGATGCGTCCGGCTCAGCCCTGACAGACAAAACCTCAAAGCAGCTTTGGCCCCAGCGGCCACCCTCACCGATGCCTCCAGGGCAGAGCCACTGCTTCCCGCTGCGGTCTGTAGGCCCTATAGGCTGTCTATGGCTTGTGCCTCTGGTCACGGCGCTGTGCCCTCGCCCAGCGGCCAGGGCAGCAGCTCTGAGAAACGGGTGTGCATGAAGCCAGCAGGGTGAGCCCCTGGTATCAGGAAAGCTGTAGCTTCCTCCCCTTCTGGTGTGCACGGTCACCTTGGTGATCAGTCACACTGCACTGAGACCTGAGGGGCACCTGAGTGCCTGCAACCCAGAGGCACCAGCCCTGGGGTCCCACCCACTCCTGCCCTGGCGCCTCACCAGATGCACTCGTGTTAATTGCTCATTGCCTGCTGGACACCCTGATGCTGGTGTGGAGTGACGCAGGTGCCCCAGCACCAGGCAGAGGTGGGCATGGCGCCTCTTAGCTGCCCTCCCCCTCAGAGTTCACTCAGATCCACAGCCAGGCTGGTGCTCAAGGCAGGAGCCTGTGTTCTGCAACCTGGCTGGCGGTGCAGGTGACTGTACTGTGCCATTCACAGGGGTTTGGGGCATCAGAAGGGGCAGAAACGAGGACACAGCCTCGTCAACGCCTTGCTGGAGAGACTTCAGAGTTTGGTGGCTCTGGATGCCACGTATGCAGCTGCGGGAGGCGTGGAGCACACAGGAGAGGGAGGCTTCGCCATGGGGCAGCCCAAGGTGCATGGCAGGGCCGGGGCCAGACCCGCAGATGCCAACGCCCCGACAGGGATTCTGAGGCCTTGGTTTATAATGGAACTTCAAGATGAAACACTCGGAAGAAGAAATGTGCAGATGACGGCAACCGCCACACAGCACGTCTCAGAGAGGCTTCCCACAGCTCCAGATTTTGGAATCGCTTCTCAGCATTGGTGACGGACGTCGAGGCTGGGGCAGCTGCAGCTGCACACGCTGTCATCAGAGGCCCCACGAGATGCCGAGCCCTGGGGACAGGGACATGCCCATCACTGCACCCCAGGCTGTCCCTGACCACTCCTTCGGGGGGGAGCAAATGTCTCCATCACTGCGCCCTGGGCTGTCTCTGAACACTCCCGGGAGGGAGGGGAGCACACTCCCCATCACTGAACCCCTGACCATTCCTGAACTCTCCCGGGAGGGGAGCACACTCCCCAGCACTGTGCCCCGGGCCATCCCTGAAGGCTCCTGGGAGGGGAGCACACTCCCCATGTTTCAGGGGACTGCAGGTTGCTACAGTACAAACCCTTCCGGCCCCCTGTGAAGACAGTGCCAACCCACATGGGGAGAAGGCCAGGTAGGCCAAAACCCAGAGGTGCCCCATGCCTAACCTTCCTGCTCTGCAGGACAGACCCGACACTGGCTCACAGGGTCCATGAGAGAACGCACACTGCCATGAGCCCTGGGACCGGACCGCTCCAGCTCTCCAAGTTCAAACCAGAGCGCTCTCTCCCTTCCTTTCCTCGACCACTGGTGACACAATTTCATTGTCCTGGACCAGATGGAAATGTTCCTCTGAATGAAATTTCCAAGTGCAGATCACTTATGTGACGCACTGGCTGAAGCGGAGGCCCTGAGGACACCCGCCTTGCTGGTGCCTGCTTGGCTGACCCAGGAAGGGTACCAAGGCCCAAGGGCAAGCAGGGTCTTCACCGTCCCATACATGCCTCCTAGATGACAAGGCCCTGCGCTATTTAACACTGACAATTTAAAAACAGCCAAAGGACAACTCACTCTAGATCCAGCTTCAAAGAGCCGCTGTGGTGAGCCAAGGGGCTCCTCCAGGGGACATTCAGGCTGGACAGGCCCTGGGGGCACAGGTGTGAGGAGACATGGGTGTGGACAGGCCTCAAACAACAGAGGAGCCAGGTGCACAATGGCGCAGAGGGCGGCCAGAGGCCACCGGGCGGGGTGGGGAGCACTGCTCATCCTCACCACAGCCAGGGTCCCTCACTCCACCACCAAACTCCTAGGCATCTGCTCCCAGATAGAGATAGATGCTTATACAACTTCTGTATTTATGGGAATCAAAGGTTGAGGAGGGACCCTCTGCCACTGAAGAACCAGAAGATTCGCCACCAAGAGGCCAGATCTGCGCCTGGAGGCCCAGGGCATGCAGAAATATGTAAGCTGGCCGGCCAGCAGCGCACTCATGCAACACCAGCCTTGGGGGCCCCAGGCCAGCCTAGGGACAGGGTGCACTGTTGGCCAGGCAGAGCACTGGGGTGGAGCCTGAGCTGGGGTTTTCCACATCGAAGTCCTGGAGGTCAGCAGCCGTGTGGATGAGACACACCCAGGGTGAGATGACTGCAGTGCCTCAGGCGGGTGAGACAAGCACCGTAACCAGGGGTCAGAGCGGGGCCCGGGGCACGTGAGACTTGGGCGCCAGGGCAGGGGAGATGCCGGGGCCCGGGGCACGTGAGACTTGGGCGCCAGGGCAGGGGAGATGCTGGGGCCCGGGGCACGTGAGACTTGGGCGCCAGGGCAGGGGAGATGCCGGGGCCCAGGGCAGGGGAGATGCTGGGGCCTGGGGCAGGTGGGATGTGGGGGGCCCGGGGCAGGTGAGACTCGGGGGCCCGGGGCAGGGGAGATGCTGCGGCCTGGGGCAGGTGGGACTCAGGGGCCACGGCAGGTGAGACGTGGGGGGCCTGGGGCAGCTGAGATGTGAGGAGCCTGGGATAGGTGAGATGCTGGGGCTTGGGGCAGGGGAGATGTGGGGGGCCCAGGCAGGTGAAATGCTGGGGCCTGGGGCAGGTGAGACTCGGGCTGAGGCAGGTGACACGCAGGCACTGCTAGGCCACCAGCGAGGTGTGCAGGGCAGAGGGAGTGGGTGTCAGGCACGGGGGGTGCGGGTTAGCGTCCCTGGAGCCAGGGCCAGGGTGCTGTGGGCTGAGCTGCCTCTGACCAAGGAAGAATTGTGATGTAACATGACGTTCTGAAGGCCCAAGTCACCGTGATGGCCACTGCAGGAGGAGAACGCCAGCTGAGGCCGAGATAACTCTGTGGAAACTATTTTAGTACTTAGAGAGAGTAATTAAATATAGCACAGATGGATCCTTCAAAAATGACAGCCACCATCCGCGTTAGAAGCAGGAAATCCATTAAGTTCGCTGTTAAAATCGGGGACGAGGGAGCAGAGTGTTCCCTCCTGACTGCCTGTCACTCAGCTCTGTGCCGGGCCGCCCTCTGCCACCCCAGGGGCTTCTAATGGCGGCCCCGGAGAGAGCTGGGAGCTTTTAAAAGTTTCCTTCATTTTTACACGTTATATTTTAGGCTGAAAAGTTATGAAATCATGTTCAAATCTGACTTTGCGCTATCATGGAACAGAAGGGCTGTGGGCTACAGACGCCCTTGGGGCTGGGTGTACGCGCTTGCTGCCAGCCCGTGGGGAGGGTGGGCACCGGCAGGCACACCCACATGGCTCTGGGACACCAGGTAGCCTTGTCTGTGACCCGCCCATGTGCAGCGCCCCAGACCCCACTTCTCCACATCTCTGGCCATGGGGAAAACATCTTTTGCCATCATGTTTGCAAAAGGCACGCTTCGGAGGCGGCAGGTGGCCCTGGGATGCTCGTCAGCTCCCGGGCAGCAACTGAAGGTACGTCAGGGACTGCCCTCTGCTGGCAGCCGGCCACATCCCGGGCGTCCTCTCGCAGATCTCGGGGCGTGTTGCGCTGTGGCTCTGCACAGCTAGCTCTGGGAGCACGAGGACTACGCAGGCCGGGGACGGAGACGCCACTGGGGGCCGCCATGCTGGAAACAGCATCTTGAAGGCAGAGCTGAAGTCATGCCTGTGAGCCCGTCTACACCCCAGCATGCAGAAGTGATCCCGTGGTGAGCCAGGCCCAAAGCCCGTGCTCATGCTGGTTCCAGCTCAGCCAGCCAGAGCCCCATCCAGAGCCTGTATGCCACCACAGGGGACGGGTCAACACTATCCCACCTCCCCCAAGCACACGGGCAGCACACAGCCATGGTGTGGCCACACCGACCACATGCTGCCCAAGTCCACGTAAGGAAACGCCACGAGTGCACGGGAGGCAGGCACCATTGTCGGCTCGGCCAGGCCCGCTGACCCCTCTGGCTCACTGGAGATGAGCCGCCAGGGCTGTCCTCCCCAACGGCCATGCCCATCCCAGTAGCGGGGCTGTCTGCAGGGCTGCTGGGGGGTCCTGACGTCAGCCACACCCCAGAGGTGTCCCGGGGGACAGGAGCGCGGCTGTGCTCATCCGGTACCCTCGACCTCCTCCTCACGGCGGGCTCCTTCCCTCCTCTGGGACTGGCCGGGCTGTGTCTGGAGTGGTCTGCGGCCCCCTGGCCCCCTGGCCTTTGGTTGCCTGGAGCCAAGCTCTGAGCAGGAACCTCCAAAACCAGCCTGAGCCACCACAGCTGCGTCTTCCCACTGGCCACGCCTCACGTCCTGAGGACGCTTCATGGGAGGGCCGCCGTTCTGCTGCCCGGAAGACATAGGTGCAGAGCTGGGGACGTGGTGTCGGGACGTGGCGCAGGGTGGCTGTTGGGTGGCAGACGGCAGTGCATTTCCTATCAAGCAAACATCTCTGAAAGCGCAGGTTAAGGGCTTTCGAGCTTAAATAAAAGTAGGATAAACTGCACGCTCTCAACTGCCAGGACTCTAGCAGACGTTCACATACTCGAAGGATGCCCCGGGCTGCCGAGAAACAGGAAGTGGCCCCTATGGCCCCTGCGCCGGCCAGCGGCTCATGAACACGTGGTTGCCGTGACAACCAGACTTCCTAGCCCCAGGTGTCCCTGTGGCTCCGCTCTGTGCAGGTGTCCCCGGCCCTCGGGAAGCAAATCTGCGGTAATGACCTGAGCTATCTTTATTGGCTTTGGATAAATACGAAAGTGCTTCCCGTCTACGGAAATTAGACTTAGCGGCAGAGAGTGTTTGGGATTAATGTGTTCCAAGTACTTCACCTACGTTAGGCTGGAGGGCGCCGCACATAACCGTTTCTTTGTCTTGTGTGTCCTGGAAGTGAAAACCAGCAGAAGTTTGCGGAGCCTCCAAGCGACTGTGAGACCCGAGAGAAGCACCGGCCACTGCGGACTTCGGGGGCTTCGGGCCCCCGGAGCTGTCCTGGGTCAGGGCTGGGCCTCCAGGGCCCCAGCCACTCAGGCCTTGAAGCCCTCAAAGGCAGCCTGCATGGCCAGAAGCACATTTGATACTGTATTTAACGTTGGTTCAGCGGGATGTGAATTTAAGTGACCATGTGGGGCCAATGTCCCTGAGGGTGCGTCCTGACTCTCAGTCAGTCCTGGGGTGGGGTCAGCGTACCCAGGGGTGCACCCTCTTAGCCAGTCCTGGGGTGGGGCCGACTGTCAGCCAGCTATGGGGTGGGGCCAGTGTCCCCAGGGATGCACCCTGACTCTGTGGACCTAGTGTCCCCGGGATGTACCCCACCTCTCAGCCAGTCCTGGGGTGGGGCTGGCATTCCCAGGATGCACGACTCTCATGTGGGGCCAGCTTCCCTGGGGTGCACCTGACTCTAAATGAGTCCTGGTGGGGGGCACCTGCTCCCAGACACCTGTGGGGTGTGGGTTTCGCTGCAGAGCAGCTGTGAGGTGAGCTCATGGTACCTTCCTGCCCCTCCCACCAGGGCTCCTAGGCTCACAGCCTGGCAGCATCCCTGTCCCTGCTGTGACACCTGTGTGGGCAGTCAGCGTGTCAGTGTGGGCCCCCAGGCTAGAAGCAGGTGTTCTCCCCACCACACAACCCCGGGGGACCGTCTGTTTTCAACTGTGGCTTTTCCAGACCCTCCTCTGACACTCAGTGGTCACATCCCAACCCACGTGGAGGGCAGTGTGTCCAGGGGTTGTGAGAGCTCACACACTCCTCGGGAAGGAATGTGGGGGGCGGCACACCTGGGAAGTGGGCGGGAATCACCCACTGTCCAGGCACATGCCCGTGGCAGGGGTCAGGGCAGGCCTGGGGCCTTTGCTTCATCTCTGCCAGGAATGGTGGTAGACACACAGAGCTCCCACCCCAGCTCCATCACCGCTGAGCCCCTCGGGGAGTCTCCAGCGAGGATGGTAGTGACAGCGGCACCGGGACACACGGCTGGCAGACAGGGGGCCCGGACACGTCTCACTCAGCTCACTCCCCGGGGCCTCAGGCAGCAGCAGCTAAAGAAGGCAGTGACATCCTCAGGCCACATCCTGAAGGTCATGGGGAAAGAGCTGGAAATGTTTTCCTAGAAACACCGCTGTATGCAGAGGACTGGGTTTCAGCCACATCAGGTGGCAGGGGCGCCCTGGGAGAAGCCTTATGGGGACCCGCAGATAGAACATGCGGCGAGGGTGACGAAGCCAGCACCCACGATGGGCTCCCCACCACACAGCACCAACCCGGAACCCTTGCTGCAAGGCAGTCAGACTCCTACCCCAGCACCGTCCCTCTGGCCTCAGTCAAGACCCTGCTCGGACACTGCATCTATGACCTGGCCGGATAGGACATCCACACCCACCCCAGTCCATCCACACCATACGCCATCCACACCCACACCCACCCCAGTCGATCCACACAACACGCCATCCACAACCACACCCACCCCAGTCCATCCACACCATACACCATCCACACCCACACCCACCCCAGTCCATCCACACCATACACCATCCACACCCACCCAGTCCATCCACACCATACACCATCCACACCCACACCCACCCCAGTCCATCCACACCATACACCATCCACACCCACACCCACCCCAGTCCATCCACACCATACACCATCCACACCACACCAGTCCATCCACACAATACACCATCCACACCCACACCCACCCCAGTCCATCCACACCATACACCATCCACACCATACACCATCCACACCCACACCCACCCCAGTCCATCCACACCATACACCATCCACACCCACCCCAGTCCATCCACACCATACACCATCCACACCCACACCCACCCCAGTCCATCCACACCATACACCATCCACACCCACACCAGTCCATCCACACCATACACCATCCACACCCACCCCAGTCCATCCACACCATACACCATCCACACCCACACCCACCCCAGTCCATCCACACCATACACCATCCACACCCACACCCACCCCAGTCCATCCACACCATACACCATCCACACCCACCCCAGTCCATCCACATCATACACCATCCACACCCACACCCACCCCAGTCCATCCACACCATACACCATCCACACCCACCCCAGTCCATCCACACCATACACCATCCACACCCACACCCACCCCAGTCCATCCACACCATACACCATCCACACCCACCCCAGTCCATCCACACCATACACCATCCACACCCACACCCACCCCAGTCCATCCACACCATACACCATCCACACCCACCCCAGTCCATCCACACCATACACCATCCACACCCACACCAGTCCATCCACACCATACACCATCCACACCCACACCAGTCCATC